CCCAAGCACGTTCCTGAGCGGGCAGTGGCGGGGGCTGGGCTCGGACTCCCGGCACAGGGAGCGGGGTGCCGCGGCAGAGGCCCTTGACCGGTGTCCACCATCTCGCAGCCCCAGGATGCTCCCCTGTGCCTCCTGCCTACCCGGGTCTCTACTGCTCTGGGCGCTGCTGCTGTTGCTCTTGGGATCAGCTTCTCCTCAGGATTCCGAAGAGCCCGACAGCTACACGGTGGGGACAGTGAGGGCCGCTGGCCTGGGATGGGGAGGGTAGGGAGGAAGAGACCGGGACCCCGGGGTGGCTGCTGCCAGGGAAGTCTCCTTCTCCTGGCTGGTGGAGGGCTGGGGGCCATTGTTTGGAGCAGGCCGGAGGGTGGCCAGGCTCAGGCCCTAGTGTTGGCCTGGTCAGTTGGAGGAGATCTTTGGGTGACCACTGGCCACTTCTGGTTCCCTTCCAGGAATGCACAGATGGCTATGAGTGGGACCCAGACAGCCAGCACTGCCGGGGTGTGTGTGCCTGGGGGACCAAACACCCCCAGGAACCCAGAAGGGGATTGATAGCTGCTTTCCAAGGGACAGCCCCACATCCGAGAGCTGCCATGGGAGCCCAGCAGCTCGTCCTCTGCCCAGCTCTGCTACACCGAGGCCAGCCCTGGTTCTCTGGAGGCCAGTTCAGCTAGGGGTGGCCTCGCCCTCTCCCAGAAACCCAGGAAACCTTGCCCCTACCCCTCAGAAGAGCTGGATCCTGTACGCCTTCTCTGAACCACTCTCCTGTCCCAGCTCTTTGTCTCATCACAACCTGGGAGGGTAGTGTCCCCAGGGGTGGGTAAGGAGGCCCCCACTCTTGGGCTGAGCTAGGGCTAGGGCTGTGGGGAGGGATAGAGACCCACTTGCAGGCCAAGAATGAGGGCAACAGTGGGAACAGCTGCCCCACCTCCAGCCTTAACCAACCCTGGGAAGGGGTCCCGGGCAGGCAGACTTAGCTTGTTGAGCAGAGTGGGAAGGCTTTGCTGGGGCCACACATCTTGGAGAAGGCCGAGCTGGGCTCCTGCCTCCGCTCCCTCCAGGGCCAGCCCAGGAGACTGGCTGTGCCCAGCAGGCCCCTCTCTGCAGATGTCAACGAGTGTCTGACCATCCCTGAGGCCTGCAAGGGAGAAATGAAGTGCATCAATCACTACGGGGGCTACTTGTGCCTGCCCCGCTCCGCTGCCGTCATCAACGACCTACATGGCGAGGGACCCCCGCCACCAGTGCCTCCCGCTCAACACCCCAACCCCTGCCCACCAGGCTATGAGCCCGACGATCAGGAGAGCTGTGTGGGTGAGTGAGTGGGGACTGCTCTGGTGCCTGGCTTCCAGTCCTCCAACCACGTGTCTTAAACTCAGACCTCATGTTCCTTCCCGGCTCAAAAGGGTCGCTGGTGACGTCCACACCCTCATCCAGACACTCATGTTGTTTGCGACCTGCCACAGGTGGCCCCAGCTTGTGTGCCACTGCTCCAGCCAGCTCCGGCCCCCTCCCCTTGGTTGCTGCAGAGACACTGCAGGAACTCTGCCTTCCAGTGTCTGTCCCCTGGGAGCCACAGGCCTTGGAGGAAGGACAGTCCAGGAATCAGTGCTTCTGGGGGTGTGGACAGGACCTTATTTCCTATGCAACCCCCAACATGTGGTTTTAGAGGTTAGGGATGCCTTTCCTGTTGGCTCCAGGCTGGTGAACTCTTACGTGTGCTGTTGAGAGAACTGGATTCAAGTGTTGGATCTATGTGTCATGTTGGGTGGTGTGCGGGATCCCAGGCGGGGGCTGAGTGGTGTCTCTTGCAGATGTGGACGAGTGTGCCCAGGCCCTGCACGACTGTCGCCCCAGCCAGGACTGCCATAACTTGCCTGGCTCCTATCAGTGCACCTGTCCTGATGGTTACCGCAAGATTGGGCCCGAGTGTGTGGGTGAGTCCAGGGAGCAGCTTCTCTAGGCTCTGTGACCCTGGTCTGGCCCTTGCTCTAGCACCTGACCCCCATTCAACCCACGCTTCACCCCCAGCCCCTGCCACCTCACCCTCCTGTCATCAGACACAGAGGACTGTATGGGGGTGTATTTGGGAGGTGTCCTGGCTGACCCTGCCCAATTCAGCTCCCCGGACACAGGCAGGATTATGGGTGGTTAAGCCTTGAGTCCCACCTGGCTCGAGCCCACCTGCCCTCTGCCCTCCGCCCTCCTTCTTCTGCCTCTATCCCAGACATAGACGAGTGCCGCTACCGCTACTGCCAGCATCGCTGCGTGAACCTGCCTGGCTCCTTCCGTTGCCAGTGCGAGCCAGGCTTCCAGCTGGGGCCTAACAACCGCTCCTGTGTGGGTGAGGCTGGGCCGGGCCAGGCTCCTGGGTCCTGGGCAGGGAGGTGTGAGGTGGGGGTGCTCCCTTCCTGACCAGCCCAGGTAGAGTGGAGGCTCTGGGCTGCTCCTCTGCTTTCATCCCTGTTTTACCTGGCACCCCCAGATGTGAACGAGTGTGATATGGGGGCCCCATGCGAGCAGCGCTGCTTCAACTCCTATGGGACTTTCCTGTGTCGCTGCCACCAGGGCTATGAGCTGCACCGGGATGGCTTCTCCTGCAGTGGTGAGAGCTCCACCCCTGCTGCGTACTCCTCCATGAGCCCCCAGGCCCTACCTATGCCGTGCCTCCTGCCACACAGTTCTCCATTTGAGGCCTCCGCGTCCCGTCACTGTGCACCCAGCTGCCTCCTGGTACTCCACTCCGGCTGGCTGTGGAGCACTCCCAGACCAGTGGGGAAGGCACAAGAAGAGGCAGCTAGGTCCCTACTGAAGCCTGCTGGGGAGACTGAGGATGTGGGTGCCACTTGTCCCACGTGTCAGGCTCACCTGCATTTACCTGCATTTGAATTTTGCACTAGGACAAGTCGCTTCTCTCTGAGCCTGTTTCTGCTTCTATAGTGGGTTGTGTTGAGGATTAGGTGAGAGTGTGATAGATGGGGTCCAGCCCGTCTCAAGCTGCAGTGCTTTCAAGTGAATTGACGGCCACTTAATGAGAACCTGCCCTCGTAGTGTGTTCCCTGACACACTTGGCCTCCTTCCTCTCAAGAATCCTAGGAGGTATGATTTTCTCCTTCCTCTACAAAATGAGGACATTCAGAGCTCCCTCCAGGTTTGTTGAGAGGATTACATTAAAATAAGCACAAAGTCCTGGGTAAATGGTGACTTTCATTATTCAGCTGAAAGAGGTTAAGTGACCTGCCCGAGTTCATACAGCCAGGATGAGATGGGGCCAGGGCTCGATCCTAGACTTCTCACACCCTGTCAACTGGCACATACCCTCTATGTTATGCTTTGCTGCGGGATGAGGCCTCACTGCTACCTGGCAGCATGAGTGAACAAGAGAAGGGAAATGGTCTGCCTGTGAAGCTCAGTTAGCTGGAGGTGACCGCTGGGTGCTCGGGCTGACTGTGGGTTGCAGGAATTGGGCAGGTTACAGCACAGGGCGGACCCACGAGACTCATCTAGTCTAAGACACTCATTTTACTGATTGGGAAAATAAGATTCCCCTAAATCAGCCGGTGGGATTCACACCCAAGCCTCTAGATTCCCACTAACTTTATTCAGTGTTTCCTCCAGTTCTGGGCAGAGAGAAGTCTGAGCTGGGGCAGCCTGGGCAGAACTTTGTTTGAACCCTCCATCTCCCGGCTGAGCTTGTGGCTTGTCTCATCCCCCTGCCTTCCTACATTCAGCCTAACATGGGGCTGGGCCTTCTTAGGAAATGTTTGTGGGACTGAATGGTGAAGACTGCCCTTGACCCGGGGTCCCCATCCCCACGCTTCCTCAGATATTGATGAGTGTAGCTACTCCAGCTACCTCTGCCAGTACCGCTGCGTCAACGAGCCAGGCCGTTTCTCCTGCCACTGCCCACAGGGGTACCAGCTGCTGGCCACACGCCTCTGCCAAGGTACAGGTTGCCTGGGTGGGATGGGCAGGATGGTGTCAGGAGCTGGCAGCCTGACGCCCCCGATTCTAGCCCCTCTCCCCTGGCACAGACATTGACGAGTGTGAGTCTGGTGCGCACCAGTGCTCTGAGGCCCAAACCTGTGTCAACTTCCATGGGGGCTACCGCTGCGTGGACACCAACCGCTGTGTGGAGCCCTACGTCCAGGTCTCTGACAAGTGAGTCAATTTGATGCCAGGCCCCGAGAGAAACTACGTCTCCCAGGGGGCTTTGGGGCTGACTGGCATCTATTCGGACAAGTGAGTGCCCCTGAGGGCTGATGGGAACCATAGTCCTTCATGACAACCAGTCACAGGGGTGGGAGGGTCCTTTTGGAATTCCCTTCCTTTGTAGGGTAGGAGAAATTGGGGGGACAGGCAAGGAGCTCATTCATGTCCCCCACCTCGGGGTCTCTAGCCGCTGCCTCTGCCCAGCCTCCAACCCTCTGTGTCGAGAGCAGCCTTCATCCATTGTGCACCGGTACATGACCATCACCTCGGAGCGGAGCGTGCCCGCTGACGTGTTCCAGATCCAGGCGACATCTGTCTACCCTGGTGCCTACAATGCCTTTCAGATCCGTGCCGGAAACTCGCAGGGGGACTTCTACATTAGGGTAAGGTTTCTGCAACCCTCAACTGACACGCACAATCTAAAACTGAACTCCAGGATGCCTTAAGGGGGAACTCGGCCAGGCTGCTATGCCCTTCCCCTCCCCAAAGCCCCGCCCCCGGGAGGCGGGATTTCTGTAGGACAACAGGGATATTCTAAATTCCCGTGGTGCAAAGGGCAGATGGTTAAATGCAATTCTAACGAAGCACTCGGACATGGGAGTTTGAGTCCTGGTACTAGTTTTCCATGTCTGATCTCAATTTCACCCACAAACCAAGGGAATGGCGTGTGCAGGGGCCTGGGGTCAGAAAGTCCACTCCTTGCTGGTGGATGTGTTAGGTGGGAGGGGGCCAGGGGTGGCTCACAGTGAGCTGCTCACGGTGAGTGGCAGCGGCATGCATGGGTCTCACCAGGAGAAGGGGTTTGTCTAGAACCAGCGCTTCTCTTTCATTTTGAAACTGAATGCTCTGAAGGGAGTCTGCTGACTTTGGGTCACCAAAGGTCCCACCACTCCCAAGAGCCACATGGTGACCTTGAATCATCAGTTAGCCTGGGTCAGACAGAATGAGCTGGAAAGGGTGGGAAGAGCCCCAGCAGGAGATTTCTGAAGGCAGGAGCCTGGGTTGGGGAGGAGAGATGTTGAGGGTGTCAAAGAGCTGGATGAGAGTCTGGGGTCGCAGCCTGGCCAGGGCTGTCCCTCCACCTCAGCCACGGGGCAGGGAGGTGACGCTGGGGCAGGGGCCTAGCACACAGGCTGACACAACATATATCCCTCCACCCACTGCCCTGCAGCAAATCAACAACGTCAGCGCCATGCTGGTCCTCGCCCGGCCGGTGACAGGCCCCCGGGAGTACGTGCTGGACCTGGAGATGGTCACCATGAATTCCCTCATGAGCTACCGGGCCAGCTCTGTACTGAGGCTCACCGTCTTTGTGGGGGCCTACACCTTCTGAGGAGCAGGAGGGAGCCACCCTCCCTGCAGCTACCCTAGCTGAGGAGCCTGTTACGAGGGGCAGAACGAGAAAGGCAATAAAGGGAGAAAGAAGGAGTCCTGGTGGCTGAGGTGGGCGGGTCACACTGCAGCAAGCCTCAGGCTGGGGCAGGGTGGGACTTGGGGGGGCAGGCCAAGTTCACCTAAATGGGGGTCTCTATATGCTCAGGCCCAGGGGGCCCCACTGACAGGAGCTGGGAGCTCTGTACCACGAGCTTCAGCCACCCCGAGAGGAGAGGAGGTAACGAGGAGGGCGGACTCCAGGCCCTGGCCCAGAGATGTGGACTTGGCTGGCTTGCAGGGGTCCTAAGAAACTCTACTCCGGAGAGCGCCAGGAGGCCCTGGGTTCCAGTCCTAACTCTGCCTCAAACTGTACATTTGGATAAGCCCTAGTAGTTCCCTGGGCCTGTTTTTCTATAAAAAGAGGCAACTGGACTGTTAGTGGTTTTCAAGCTTTTCTTTTAGGAAGTTTTATTTATTTTTATTATTTTTATTTTCCCAATAAGCCCTCTGCACTCCTAAGGAAGTTTTATTTGATGAGGACCAACTGATGACATAAAATCGATTCAAAGCTGCAGTGCCCCACTGACTCCATCTCCCTAACCAGGCAATCCCAGGTCCTAAGCAGCTTTGTTTAAAAACCACTGGTCCAGACGGTATCCCTGGTTCCTGCGTATTTCACAAGGTCCCCAGGACCAGGCATCTTCTACATAACACATATGGCTGCAAATACTTAGATTCTAATTTTACCACAAAAGATGTTGTTAAAAGGCTGGCTAGCCTGCGTGGGGGTACAGATGGGGGCTGGGGGCTGTTTCACAGCATAAGCTCAGGTCAGGGGGCTGTAGCTGCAGTAGAGCTGAGATAAGGTCCTGCTCAGAGCAGGCCCCAGATTCCTGCAGGAAGAGAGGCAGCGAGGGTCACGCCCTGGGCCTAGGGCAGCCCCAGTCCCCACCACTCCCTCCAGGTTCCGTCTCTTGCCCTCACCTCTGTAGACGCCCACACTTGATGGTGCTTAGCAGTGTCTCTTGTTCCTTGGGGGTGGCACAGGCATCATAGGCGGCCAGGAGGCTGGGGGACAGGGGCTTGAGTTTCTGAGGCTGACGGTGGCCCACTCTGGGCCAGCACCATGAGGGGCCAGGCAGAGGGGTCAGCATGGGATAGAAGAGTTGGGACACTGCCCCACTTCCTGAGCCTGGCACTCAAGGCCCCAGGCCAGCCTGGCTGTCCTCCCTCCCTGTGGGAACCCTGGGGCAAAACCAGCAAAGGCTCCAAACCATCACCCTCACTCCCCTTAATGGCCCAGCCCCCTTCTCCAAGAAGCCTCTTCGCCACCACGTGGGACATCTCCCTCCCTCCTGTGGCCTCCAATGCCTGGGACACTGTGTGGGTCTGCTGGCTTCCTCCCCGCTTGGCCTCCATGAGCACCCTGGGATCTGTCCATCTCTGGTCTGCGCAGCCCACACAAGGCCAAGCTCCCTCCACGAAGCATGGATTAAGGTGAATTCCATGCACGGAGAGCAGGGGCTGAGGACACCTAAGGGTCCTCTAGGGCCTACCTGGCAGGGGTGCTGTATCGATCCACCAGGGCTGCTGCTTTCTCCCCACTCACTCCGCGCACCTGCATCAGCTGCCGGGCAAACACTTCTCGCACTGACTGGGCCTGGGTTTGGGGAAGGGCTGGATCAGTGGGGGTCTGGGCCAGGCCACGTCCGAGAAGCTGGGCAGAGACAGTACCTTATTTTTGATGGCTCCTGCGTTGAAGTCACTGAAGGTGAGGAGTGAGCAGAGAGGGTTTGGAGAGGGCATGGCCCCCGATTCAGGGTTCCCAGGGGTTCCCCAGGGGCGGCTGCGTAGGGTGTGGCCCTGAGGGAAGAAGGGACTGAGGCCAGGCTGGAGCTCGAAGGGACAACTCCAGCCAGCCCCTGCCCAGTCCTCAGCCTCGGGGGGCCAGCCTGAGAAATGGGGATCTCACCCACCTTGCTTCTTTTGGGGATGCACAGGGCCCAGGCAAGGTGAATTCCTTGTGGGCTGTGTCCCGACACTGGGACAGGGGCCTCTGCTCACCTGGTAGAGTCTCTGCAAGCCCCGCGTCAAGAGGGCCAGATAGGCAGCTGACTCCTTAATGTCTGCTGTGCGCTTCACAAAAAAGCCATCAATGACCTGGGGAAGAGGACCCAAGAGAGGGAAGGTGGTTCCTGGCCCAGACCATGAACCATGGACCACAGCGGCCCCTGCCTGCCTGGCCCTGCCCTCCCTGCTCACCTGAGTGTTAGTGACAGCCTGCAGCAGCGTACTCTCAGGAAGGCTGAGATTGTGGACCGAGCCATGCTCTTCCACCAGGTATACCCGGCGCTCCAGGCCACAGCGCTTCAGGCGGAACTGGGGAAGTGGACAGAGTGGGCAGGGAGGGTCAGGCTGGATGACCACATGCCTGGGCGTCCATGATGTCACACTCAAAATGGTGCTATGACCCTGTTCCCACCAGTTAGCCTCTGCATCCTCCCTAGCCTCTCCACCTGCCTCAGAGGGGCCTCCACAGCTTTGCTCATGCTGACACTCTTGTCTAGAAAGCCCTTCCTCCATCTCTCAACATCCTTCAAGCCTCCCCTGGGCCGGTACATGGCCTCTGTGACTAGGGGGTCCACCCAGCAGCAAGTACCAAGGTACAGCCTCTGTATTTCCAATTCTGGAGGTTTAAGCCTTGTTTATCCAAGACTGCAGGGGCTCGGTACCCAAGAGGTCTTTAATATGCTCCTGAGCTCAGCCCAAAAATGCAGGTACCTGGCTTCCTACTGTGTGCCTGGACAGGCCTGTGGGGGTCTGATTCTGGAGCAACCACAGGGTGGATGTGGCTGGATTCCAAAGGGCTCTGCCTCAAGGAAGCTGCCAGAAGTGCCCTTGGATTGCTCTGGGCTGAAAAGGGGGGCCTCAGAGCAGTCAGGGAAGCCTGGCAAAGCCAGCAAAATTACCTTCTGCTCCCGGAAGCGGCTGTCAATGATGCTGCTGCAAAGGTCATCCAGCCGCTTGCGCTCTACAATGTGGTCCAGTACCAACTCCCCAGGGCTCGCTGCTGACAAGCCGGCCGTTAGCTTGTGATCCCCCACCCACCAGGCCCTGCCCCTGGCGCCAGCCTGCCCACGGCCCTTCACCTGGGTCTCTAGGATTGGTTTCCTGTGCCACCCATACAAAATCCCCAACGTGCAGCTTGCGCACTGTGTGGGTCACGTGCAGCCGCTGTAGCTCTCGGAGCAGCTCCGGCCTGTGCCCGCCCCTGGAGTGGCAAGGAGGGAATCCTAGATCAGGGCAGGGCAGTGCCTACCCCCCAGCCTCCTCCGATCGTCTACCTCATTTCTCCCCACCTCACTCACCCCCGGGTCTCGCCAATGTCCACACACAACAGCACCCTGTACTCTCCAGGCCTCAGCTCCAGTGGTGGCTGCTGGACCCCTGCTTCACTGGCACTAAGTGGGGGGTATCGGTATGTGAGGCCAGAACCCCTTGTGCTAGGGCAGTTGCCCCACACCCATGCCACCCGACACCCACCACCCACCTACAGTAGGGAGGCAGCCACAGCTCAGCTACAGGTGATGGATAGAGGTGGGGTTTTGGCCTCATTTCCCATCCCCACCTCCCTGTTTTCCCCCCTCCTCCGCCCTCCTTCTCACAGCTCTGCTGAAGCTGCTCCTGGCACTGCTGCCTCCTCCCCAGGGGGCTCCTTAGGCCCGATGCCCACATTCAGCAAGCTCAGGCCTTCTGACTCAGCTAACTTCTGGGCCAGCTCCAGGCCCTCTGGGGTCAATGAGTACCTGGGAGGCAGAGGGGAAAAATACAGCTCTCCCTTCTTCACTCATTCCTGGCAGGCTCTCCTGCCTGCCCCCAGCTGGGCTGGCCTCACCGCCCCCTTGGCGCCCTGCACAAATGACCCCAGTGGCTCCTGCTGCTCCTGGTCTTCTTGGCTCTTAGAGCAGTTCCTTGGACCTGCTCAGCTCCATTCTCAGGTCTGCAAGAAGTGTGTCTCAGACGATTTCCTTCCTCCTATCTTCACTAATGCTGTTTCCTCCTCCTCGAAATACTTATCCTGAATCTCTACCTGCCAAATTCTAAAACGTGTCAAATGCTATCTCCTCTGAAAAGTCTTTCTACTTCTCCAATAACCAGGGCACCCTCCCACCCCCGCACCTGCGGTTTCACACCCTCCAGGTACTCCAACAGTGGGGGCTCCTAAGGAAAGGCCCCCAACCTCAACAACATCAGCTCTGGGAGTTGTTGAGTGACTCTAAGGCCCCACTAAGAAGTTCACGTGTGCTTTGCTGTATCTCCTGCAGTTGGCCCCACCTGGCTGGCTGGTGTGTCCTGAGGACCAGGTTCCTGTGGAGGAGGGAGCGGAGGGCTGGCCAGGGTCGAGCACTCCCAGGGGCTACCTGTGGATCAGAAAAGAGACCGTCAGAGAGCACCTGGTACCACCACAAGTCCATGTTCCCTGTGTCCCCAGCCACGGGCCACACACGGGCCCACTGCAAGAAAAGGCAGTCTTTGGTGGGCTCCAGAGCCACTTGGGCCTGTCTTCCCCAATCCCTGTGCTCACCCTGGGGGCCTTCTGAGCACACCTCTGCAGCAGCTCCTCCTTGGTTAAGAAGTGGTAGCCATTAGGATTCTGAAACCAAGGTAGAAGAGACAGGGTAGGCTCAGTGCCAGGGACCCTCCTCATCTCGCTCAGGTGGCTGGGATAATCTTTGCCTGCCTTGCCAGGGCTAGGCACCTCTGGGAACCTCCCACCCCACTGCCATGGTTCCACCCAGTGCTCACCAGGTGCTCTCGGTAGAGCATCAGCAGTATCACTCGGGCTCCTGAGTGCCGAGCTGGCCAGTAGTTGCCAGAGCCTCCCGCTTTGGACTGGGCAGGAACCTGAAAGGTACAGAGGAGCTCTGAACGTGAAAGCCAGCTAGTCATCTTCGAATAAGTCCCCAGCAGGCTTTGTGGCCCTGAGTAAGTCACTCAGTTATCTCTCAGTTTCCTTCTCTGTAAAACGGGCCAGGTGATGGGATGGCCCACTGCAAATGTGGGATGAGACAGCAGGCAGTTTCCGGGCAGCGGGTGGGGGTGTCTGCCCAGCCTGGCCTCAGTTCTACCACGCGCTGCAGAACACGTGTGATTAGACAGGAAAACTCAATAATGGTGACCCCGTAACTAACTGAGCTGGGCTCCCTAAGTAGCTTGATCATGGAATTCTCTCGTTGGCTGTTACCAATATTCCTAGTCACAGATTAAAATACTAAGTCAAAAAGAGGGTAAGTCATTTGCTCAAGGCCAGGAATCACTGGTGAGATTTGGACTCAGGCTTGCCAAATCCCCCAAGCCAGAAAATCATACTCCCGCACTCCCACTTTGCCTTCCGCTCCCCTTGCCCCTTCCTCACTGGCATGGAAGAGTCCTGGACTTCCGCAGGTCGCCCCTGCGGGGCTGGACTGTTCTCTCCAGATGGCGAGCCCGGGGCATGGTCACCTGCGGGAGCAGAAGAGAGTCAACTCCACTCCACGGAATCCGGCAGCTGCGAAGGTCTGGGATGCAACCTGCTCAGATGATAAGTGAAACCGGTGAGGGAGGCTCAGGGAGCGCCAGCCACTAGCCCGAGGCCGAACGGCAACCTGGACAGGAGTGGGGAGCTTAAAGCTAAGGGCCTCCAGGTGAGTACGGAAGCTGCACCTGGGGGAGGCAGGGGATCACCGACCCTTTCCCCAGACGCTCACCGCCCGATGTTCGGTGCCGCTGCAGCCGCTCGTCCAGCATCCGGCAGAGCCCGTCTCCGAAGTGCTGTAGGATCTTAGCTTCCTTCCCGCTGCGCAGCGGCAGTGGGTACCGTCGGAGGGACCGCAGCGCCTGGCCGGGCAGGGGTAGGGTACCTGGTCAGGGCAGGCCCGACCTGGCCAGCAGCTTTTCCCATCGGGCCACGCCAGGACCCACCTTCTGAAACACGAAGCGTGTGCGGCGCCCGCTGCGGGTCGCCTCGTCCCGCCACTCGGTCAGCCAGCGAACGAAGAGCGGATTGGGACAGGCAGGCAGCGGGCGCTTCCGGCCCAGGCGGACCGGGGCCGCCATGAACCCGAGGGCGGGTCCTCCGGCGCCCCACGCCCGCGGGACTGGGACGCCGCCAGTTCTGGAGTAGGGATTCGAACACCTGGCCCGGGGCGGGGCGGGAGAAGAGGGAGGCCGAGGGCAGGACCGCTGAGATCACAGGGCCCCAAACACACGGGGCACTAACGAGAGGAGAGCCTGCCGCCCTCCCGCCCCTGCGCTGCTCTAAGTGGTTGGTGAGGGGCGCTGTCTCTTAAACGATCTTTTCCCCTCGGCCCCACTCCAGCCAGCCTTTGGGACGCGCCCAATCCCAGCCCCCGGAGCCTGGACCGACTCCTTCCTGTCACCCCAGATTCGAGAGCGGGGTCATCTTTGTGTAGGCGAGAGGAAGGCGGACAGCGCCCCCTGTGACGGGGAGGACTGGTTGGGCGGCGCTTAACGGACTAACCTGAACTTGGCCGCTCTAAGTCTCTTAAGATTGCCAGTTTCAGCCTCAAGCTTGAAGGAGGCTGGAGATGGAGACTGGTCTTGAAAAGAGTCCAGGAGAGGCGAGGGCTGGGAGACAAACGGGTGCAAACGTATTGGTGGGAAGGACACCCAGAAATGGGTGCTGGGGATGAGGAGCTGCAGGATCCTTGGAGGAAATGGTCATCCTCATCCCCGGGATACAGGGCAAAGAGTGTATGGTGGAAAGGAAGTCGGGGACGTGCAGAGAAGGCCTAAAATAGGACTCGGAAGGTCGGGGGTCAGAGGCCTAGAGGAAGGAGGACTGTAAGTAAGAGGTGCTTGGGCACGCTGGCAGTTGGGGAGGCCTGAGATGGGCACGTGGTTGGGTTCCGGGGCGGAGGAGCAGGCTGCGGGTTAAGAAGCCCAGACACAGGTAGAGGGGAGAACAGTTCGTCATTTTTGTGGCTAATCGGAAGTGGGAGACCCCCAGGGAGGTTGAAGATGGAAACCCTACAAAGGGTTTCAACCTGAGAAGCCTCAAGGACACGTATAACTGAGTTGGACACAGGCGACCCGCCAGGGTTCGAAGCAGCACCCGGCATCTAGCTGCTATACCGGAAGTCGTGAGACGCAGGTCTCCAGGCGGTGAGGAAGCGAGAGGTGGGCGCCGGAGCTGTAGGCCCGCCCCTCAGGACTGTGCCTGGCCCACGGCGCAGTAGCCCCACCCGGGCTAAATTGGACCAATGGGCTCCGGCTCCCGCCTCCTGCCCGCCGCGGCCTTATAAGGAGCCTGAAGCCGGCGGTCGGGCTGACCCCGCCCCCTCGAGTCTCATGTCCTAATAAGGACATCTAGGGCATCCCGCGGCTGGGGGCGGGCGGGAGCGCGTCTCCAGGGTAACTGCGAAGCCCCCTCCCTCTCCCCGTTGCTCTTGGAAACTCTAAGGCTCGGAAAAGGGGGCGCTAGCGTCTTCATGCAGGGCCGCTTGCGGGAGGCGGGGGTCAAGCTGCTGTCTCCACCTGGAGCGCCGGGAGCCCAGGCGGGGGCGGTGCAGTGGAATGTCCCCGACTACAACCCCCGGCATGCTCTGCAAGGTACTCCACTCCCTGGCATCGCTCTCCGTTTACACCCTTAATTCCGTTTATAGGATTAGAGTCCCCAGTTCCCTTTCTGGGTTTGCCTCTGGCTTGTTTGCGACCCAGTCTTCTCTTCCTGCAGAGTGTGAGGCTGTGGTCACTGTTCTAGGACAACAAAATCATCCCGGAGTCCCCCGCTCGTTTTTTTTTTTAAGGCATATACTACCATAGATCTTGTCTCAGTTTTTCAAGTGTTAGAATAACCACGTACCTGGCTATCAACTCGAGAGCTGGGTGCAAGTCTGGCTTAATATCTATTTTTTCTCAGTGGCACGTAAAAGGCACATAAAGAAGCTTTGAATTGAATGCACAAAGCCTCGTCTTTACCCTTTATCGCCTCATGACTTTGCCAAACATCTTTAAACAAGAACAAAGCTCTCAGAGATTTGCTTGTACCTTTCCCCTGTGCCTTTTCCTCCTATTTTTATTTTACTGACGTTGCACATGGCCTTTTTTTTCAGGAGACGAGTGGCTTTGCACATGTGGAGTACTAGTGTTATCCGACCGATGACGCCTTCATACTTGTGATTTTCTTTGCTTTAGGTCGGGATTCCAGGCTAATCAATAGTTGCTTCGATTCAGAAAAGCAAAACCCTAACCTCACTCAAGAATTTCAGGCCAACGGATCCAGATAATACCAGATGGGTCTTAAGAAAGCCGTTTTGCTGCGGGATAAAGAGCCGCTTAGTCGGGGATCGTTTTCGGGTCATTTTACTGAGCGCCACCTCGCCGGGTTCAGAGCGGTTCCTGGGAAATTGGACCAATGGGCTCGCGCTGCGCTGTGCGGTGCCGCCCGGAACCCGGGCCTACATTTCCCCGCATGCACTGCAGCTCCGGACTGGCCGGCGGGAAGACTCCGTTACCCAGCGAGCGAGCGAGGCGGCGGCGCAGGGCCCACGGACTCCATTTCCCGTCGGCCCGCGGAGGGAGCGCCGGAAGCCCGCCCCGCCCCTCATTGTGCGGCTCCTACTAAACGGAAGGGGCCGGGAGAGGCCGCGTTCAGTCGGGTCCCGGCAGCGTCTGCAGCGCTCTTGTCTACTGCGGCTCTCGGTG